ACTGGAGACTTGATAAACCAATTTCAGTGCAGTAACCCAGGACAAAAATACCACTGGGTTCAGAAAAGACCGGGAGGGAAGAAATTGGGAGACAGCATTACAAGACAATTTTTTTGAGGAATCTGCTTGAAGGAAGAATAGAAAAATTGGGTGGTCACTATCTACAAGGGAAAGGGGAATGCAGTTTCAAAAGAGGTTTTACCTTATTTATTTTTATAGAAGGTACTCAGTAAATCAAACATTTAAGAGCAACTCAGTAAGTATTTATCCAGAATGAACTGTTCTCAAGACTAGGTTTACTGCTTGACATTAGAGGTTAAAGTGTTGCAATTTTGAGTCTTTTTTATTCCCCGCCCCCACCCCCCACCACCAATATTACTTCATCTTTCTTCAAGGTCACTGAAGTTTTTCATAACTATTTAATAGATATTACAATAAATGTACAGTAATTTAACTGTCCTTCTTGCTGGGTATGTCCAAGTGTTTTCTATTATTATAGATAATGCTTATTTATATATTATTATAGACAGTGCTGCAAGGAATCTTTACTTACATAATACACTTTACTTATATAATTCAGTTGTCATTTTTTCTTTGGGTTATATTCTCACATGAAACATTACTTACTCCATTGAAGACTAGGAACATTTTTAAGGTTCTTCAAGGAGATTAGTGGTTTTATCAAGTGACATTCCAATCAGGAATTTGTTGGTCCCATTTCATCATATCCCTAATGGTACAGAGTTTCAACATAAATGTTCTTATTTTGTTAATTGTATTATCAAAATTGTATTACTCTAAGTTTATCTGATTAACTAGTGAGGTTAAAGTTTTCAAAGATTTATCAGTCATGTGCTTTTTTCTTTTGTGACTGCCTTTATTTATCTTAAAAAAAAAATTTGTTCCTATCAAGCAGTCTGTTCTATTTAGTAAGAAAAACCACTTTTTTGATTGATTATCCCAGGTCTTCCCTCAGATGTTATTTGCTTTTAGCTGTTTATCACCATCAAGTTAATTTTTGATAATTTGTTTTTTCTTTATTTTGTTTTTGCAATTTTTTAAGTTATTTTGCATTAAATTGATGTTTTCCACTATCATTTCTTCCCCTCATAGCTCATAAGTTTGGTTTATAACTGCTAAGGATTGGGCACCAATGGATTAAAGCAAAGACTGGGTTTAAGAATGGAAATTCTGTTGTGAGGAATTTAGCAACTCTCTTTTGCTATAACTACCTGGTCTATGGTCTGGCCCACATTTATTTTTTCAGACAGAATCTCGCTCTGTCACTGCTGGCATGCAGTGACACAATCATAGCTTAATGCAGCCTTGAACTCCTGACCTGAAGCAATTCCCTCCCACCTCAGCCTCCAAAGTCCTAGGATTATAGGTGTGAGCCACTGCACTCAGCCAGTCTACATTTAAATTAAAGTTTAGAAGGTTAATAATTTTATGTCCAATAAGTAAATAAACATTTAACAAAATATGGTAAAGGCAACTAGATAAATTAGCAAGTAGGACTTAGATTCAGATCACCTGCATTTAATCACTGGCTCTAACACTGGAAGGGTCTGGACTTCACCTTACTCAATTCTCAGGATCTATAAGTAACACTTTAACATTTACTAAGGGCGTACTATGTGCAAGCATGTTTCTAAGAATTTTACTTTTAGTCAACTTATTTAAAACAATGATATTAATTATAATCACCATTTCAGACAAGAGAAAACATATGACCTACAGAAGTTCAATAACTCAAAACTTACAAAACAACTAGTAAATAGCGGAACAAGAATTTGAACCTAGGCATTCTGCCTCCAGTGCTCCCATTCTGGCTCCCATTATATGGCCTCTTTTATCTTTAAAATGGGAATGATACCACCTAACTCAGGTGTGGTGGAAGGATTAAATAAAACAGTATACATGAAAGAACTTTATAAAGTGTGAAATGGCAAGTATAAGGAACAGTATTAAGAGGGGAGGGTTGTTTTAAATAACAAAACCTGATAGACACTTTGTATGATTTAAAATAGGTTTAAAAAAAAGATGGCAGCCAATTCCACAAAGCATATGCAGTGAACTAAAATGCTTACAGTAACCTGTTAAAATACCATGGCAGAGAGTCTTTAGGCTCTTGCTCTCTGGCTGGAATAAAAAATTCTTGCGTGAGGCTAGAAGGATATGCAATTTATCCCATGAAAATAATTGTGCAATGCATTATCCTTAGCAGGCCAGTTCAGTTAATATGCCAGTTTAGAAGCCCCATGAAAACAAGAGACTCACCTTGTCTTTTCTTCCTCTTACATCTTGCCACTTCTCTTCTGTCAGACAATATCTTGGTTTACGCCCCTTCCTAAGTAATACCTTACCCACTTGCTTTATCTATCCAAATCCTATATGCCTTTTGAGGTGCATTTCAAGCCCCAACTTCAGAGTCGTATCCACTAATTCATGCCCACAGTCTTCTTTTTTCTCCCTGACCTCTCATTATCTCTTTTATGCTACTTAATCTCTGGATACATTTTCTTTTGTTGAGATATAATTCATATACTGTAAAATCCACCATTTTAAGTATACAATTCAGTGGTTTTAAAAATTATATTCACAAGGCTGTGATAACCACCATCATTATCCAATTCCTGACTATTTTCATCACCCTAAAAAAAACATATCCATGAACAGTCCCTCCCCATTTGACCTCCCCACAGCCTCTGGCAACCACTCATCTACCTACTGTCTCTCAAGATTTGTTTTTTCTATACATTTTACATAGATGGAATCATACAACATTTGGTCTTTTGTGTCTGGTTTTTGCGCTTAGCATGTTTCCAAGGTTCATCAGTGTTGAAGTGTGTATCAGTATTTCATTCTTTTTATGGGTGAATAATATTCTATCCTATGACTATATCACATTTTATTTATCTGTTGATGGACATTTGAATTTTTTCCACTTTTTGTTTATCGTAATGAACAGTCTTGTGCAAGTTTTAGTGTGCACATGTTTCCAATTCTCTTGGGTATACACCTAACAGCAAAACTGCTGGGTCATATGATAGCTCTATGTTTTTCTTTTACTTATTTATTTTTAAATTTTTCTTTGTATCTCTTTAGCATATGTTTAACTTTCTCAGGAACTGCCAAACTCTTTTCCACAGTAGCTGTACCATTTTACATTCTCATCTGCAATGTATGAGAGTTCCAATCTCTCTACATCCTGGCCAACACTTGTCATTGTCCTTTTTAATCCCTAAATCACAGCCATCCTAGGGTATGAAGTCATATCTCATTGTGGTTTTGATTTGCATTTCCCTAAGGTCTCTGTTTACATTTTATTTTATGATACATATTCCTCCAATGCATAGTCGGCAAACTTTTATCTGTGAAGAGCTAGATAGTAAATGTTTCATGCTTTGTGAGCCACATATGGCCTATGTCACATATTATTCTTTGTTTATTTCCTGTTTTTTAAAAACAGCTCTTTAAAAAGTAAATGTCATTCTTAGCTTGAGGGCCATACAAAACAGGTCTTAGACCAAAAGAGGTCTTAGACCAAAAGTTGGTAAAACTCCTCTAATAATTTCATAATTAGCCTTGCCTTTGCTATCGACATCAACTTTGCTGAAAGCAAGGTAAGGATTGTTTTGTATTTCCCCATAGAGATTTATACAGGGTCTATGAATACAAGAACAGAGGTTCTAAATATACTTGAACTGGGTCAGGCACGGTGGCTCACGCCTGTGATCCCAGCACTTTGGGAGCTGAAGCAGGTGGACCACCTGAGATCAGGAGTTCAAGACCAGCCTGGTCAATATGGCAAAACCTGGTCTCTACTGAAAATAAAAACATCAGCCAAGCATGGTGGCACACACTTGTAGTTGTAGTTCCAGCTACTTGGGAGGCTGAGACAGGAGAATTGCTTGAACCTGGGAGGCAGAGGTTCCAGTGAGCTGAGATCGCACCACTACATTTCAGCCTGGGTGACAGAGCAAAACTCTCCAACTCAAAAAAGAAATAGAAATAAAAATACTTGAACTAAGCTTTTTGCAAAAAGAAGTCAATTTAAAAATATATATATTTGAGGGGCTGGACGTCATGGCTCATGCCTGTAATCCCAGCACTTTGGGAGGCCAAGGCAGGCAGATCACTTGAGGTCAAGAGTTCAAGACCAACCTGGCCAACGTGGCAAA